ATGACGAGTGTTCCAACTATGTTTTAACTTAGAATGCATGATAGTGTTGGGAAAGGGAAGACAAATTTGGCAAACGTTTTTTATACCCACCTCACAACTTTAGATAACTCTCATGCCCAATTATCATTGTTCTAGTATACAGAAGCATATAGAACAGAACAAAGGTAACTAAGCTTAGAATCATGGGCGGATTAACCCCCCCCCCTAGAATCTCTCTAACCCCTCCTATAAAGTGTTCAACCCCACCAAAATTTCGCTTCACCTCTCCTATTTTAAGGTCCAGACACATCGGACGCGATTCGACAACGCGACGCGATTTTTCGATTTTCACTGACCGATAACTTTGATCTTAGTTTGAATTTTGCAAATTTTTAGAAGCGCTATAACATTTTGAGTTACTACCATTTGCAAGCAACCGCAAAATCCAAACTTTTTTTCACGTTTGTTTACGTTTCAAACGTACACGATGGGCGGGTCAAACGTGCATGTTGGAACGTAACAACAATTAGTTTGAACCGCGAAATAGTGACGTTTGGGCGAGATTTGTCAAACGTCACTATTTCGCGGTTCAAACTAATTGTTGTTACGTTTCAACATGCACGTTTGACCCGCCCATCGTGTATGTTTGAAACGTAAACAAACGTAAAAAAGTTTGGGTTTTGCGGTTGCTTGCAAATGATAGTATTTGGTCTACATATCTTTCAAAATTTGCTCTCATTGGCTGTTTTATTAACTTTTAAAAACTTAAAAATCGCGTCGCGTTGTCGAATCGCGTCCGGTCTGTGTGGGCCTTTAGTCTTTAACCCTAACGCCTGCCGAAGCTCGCTCAGTGGTGCCGCTTGCACCCCCACTAGAAATTTTTTCCAGCCCTCCTTAAAAAAAAAGAAAATACGCCCTTGCTTATAACTCTTATACATAACTAGTTACTTTTGTTCTATTCTGTGCTTCTGTAAACTACAACAATAGTAACTAGGCATGCGAGTTTTATCTAAAGTTGTTAATTGGGTAGCAACAATGTAAACAATGTTGTCCATTAAAGTGCGACTAACCCCAAAATATATCATTTTTGGTATGTGTGAATATTTGGGTCATTCTGAGAAGAAATGTAATGTATCTTTATAGTAAAAAACGTCATCTTGAACAACTTTTTCACTGTCAAAGTTCCGGATATGAGGTCATTAGGTGAATTTTTGGTACAAAAAACAAAGGAAAACTAATTTGCGATTCACCTAATGACATATCCGGAAACTTTGACGGTGAATATGGGATTTTTTATTACAAAGATATATTAAATTTCTTCTTCGAATGACCCAAATATTACACATACAAAAAATCATATTTGTGGTTAGTCGCACTTTAAGAACAGCTAACCAAGGTCACGTGACTGGCTGACTGCCAACTCTCATATGTACTGTACGCTCATCGTCGTTTGATCTGAGCATGGTCTGTCAAGATATGATGGTCTGGAAGCCTGGCAAACTTCAAAGCCACAAAGTAGAAGACCTTTGCTTGATGTTGAACTATACCTCACCATGCACAAATCCTTTGTCTCAACTTCATTAAATATTACCATCGTGTTGCACGTTTCATCTCGGCCATCCTTATTGGACGATTACTTCATTATACAATGACTTCTGTTAGTTTCCAGACCATCATATCTTGACAGACTCAGAATTGTAGTATGCTGCCAACTATCGACATATATAACTTAATTTTCTAATATATACAATGTTAAACAATTCCCTCCCTACTAAAAAATTTCACCTCCGGTACACGAGGACAATTCCTCAGGAAATTTTCGATTATCATTAATGTCACTGCACGAACTACCTTCTGAACTACAGTTGGTCGACCGTCGTTCTTCAGAAGTGTTCTTTTTCTGTTTACGTCGTTTTGCCAAAGGCGCTTGCTCCACGGCCTGTAAAGCGAAACCCTCCCTTGTCGCTTTGTGGAAAGCGTTATATGCCGCGTTTAGGGCACTTTCAACAAAAGTACGTTTTTGCCCTCTACATAAAATACCTGGCGTCATGAGTGGGGTCGTTGGTATATCTCGTCCGCTCGAAAGCCATTCGTGGTTTTGAACTTCGCTTATTGTAAGGCGCTCACTAGGATTGACTGTTAACAAACCTGAAAGATAGCAAGTCGATCAGAGACATGAACAAAAATGTCTACTGTTACAGTAGGTAAGATGGTTCCTAACACAATGGTCAACAGTGGCAGAAATTCACTTTTTTCGGGGGGGGGGGCAAAGCCTCCTAAATTTCCGAGAAAACTTTCAAATTTCTGACAACCCCCCCCTTCCCCCACCTCATTTTCACTCGAAAAGCTGTTTTTAGTCCTCTTTTAGGTCAACATTTTCCGAAAATTCGTCATTTTCCGTGAAGCCCCCCGCCCCACCGAGATTTCCGCCACTGATGGTCAATAACAAAAAGTTTTTCATTTCCTGCAGTACCTTGGATTAGATCCCTTGCTTGCTGTGACACAGCACTCCATTGGTGTCCTTCAAATTTAAAATCCCCCATCTTGATTCTGGTCATAATATTCGCTGCTGTATTACTGCGACTATCATTTCTTTGAAATGGAACTTGACCTGACAGCATCGTGTACTTGAAATGAAAAATATACACTGGTATTTATATTATCTTGCGTTTTGTTCCCGATGTGCTATTTAAGAACTAATACAACGTGAGCCAATTACGTTAGTGATCTGTTGCAAAACAAATGCAGAAGTGCAGAACAACAAAATGCAGAACAAACATGAAACAAGATTGCAACAGAGTCCATTTTATAATACTTTTTGTTTGTGGAAAAAAGTATATGTTTTATCGCCATGCAAACCTACAAAGAAATTATTAGAGTCCATCTTATCCGAAGTAGAGAGCGCAATACAGTTCCTACTATAGACTAAATACTCAAATAATGGTTAATGATATGTGAGAATATATAAAGTAGGTAGAACTAATCGGAAAACTGCACGGGAGAGCTGTTACTGGACCTCTAAAGGAAAAAAAACTGTTTGTAACTGATAGAGCTATCTACAATCTAGCTTAGAAATGCACATAATTACAGCTTTGGAAAACTAGGATTTTCTTACTACCTACCAATATAACTCCTAAACTCCAAAGGTCACAGGCTTCATCATATCCACTTTGTCTGGTAGTTTGAGCTAGAACTTCGGGAGCTGCATAATGTAGGGTAAAGCATGGTGTCTGTAGAGGTTGGTTAACTACTTTCACTTTAGCAAAACCAAAATCAATTATCTTGATCTCAGCATCTTCCGTATGGTCGACAAACAGTAAGTTCTAGACAAAATATAATTATGTAAGTTCATGTATATATAATTTGTATTGGTGGTGACTATAGGATTTTGGTGACACAGCAGTTCATGCGCCATTCAGCCTTTGTCTTTGTGGGTGATTATAACTTAGCCTCATTCTCGTCTGAGAAGAGTGTTTCCTGTACGACTTTACCAACATAGACGGACATTTCTTGTACATTTGTCAAGTTTTTCTTGGCGGCCGTACATACGAACAAATTTTCTTGGTTCAAAAGCTGGCATGTTAGCTTTGAAAGAAGGCTCCTTGGTAAGGAAACATTGTCAATTAAATCAATCTTGTCAATAAAAACG